GATCTAATTTCGCAGATCGATTTCGCATCACAGTACGCCGCTTCGCGAGCTGCTTCCCTGACGTACGTTTCCCGATCGATTTCACACACAGTTGTCGCCTCGTCTTTTCACCCACTGCAGGCCGCCGTGCGTCACGCCGTTGCCCACCCCCCCGGACGGGTGCCACGCTGGTGGGTGCCGTTAAACCTCTCTCGCCACCTGCAATTTCGGGCCCACTCTCTTCCGTCACTCGCGGGTGCTCTCCACCCAACCCACCCACAGCCAAGCTAACTACACCTCCCTGCCTCTCTCCTCTCAACCCTCGCACTTGTGTGGGCTTTCATGCCTCGCTTGAATTTTACTAAACGCTCCCTTACTGCCCTCTGTCACACTCAAGAGACCTCCCTCCCCCAAGGTAGCAAGTGGAACAGCTCTAGGCTGTTAGTTTCTGAAGGCTAAAGCTTGGAGAGTCTAAAATGACAAGGTAAACTCAGTAGCATAAATTCTGTAAATTTTAGAAAGCAAGAATGGCATACAAGGGATGAACAGCTACTCTTATACACACTTCTATGACTACGGCGCCTTGAGAAGGTCGTTCAGGCCGCCATTGATCTTCTCTCTGCTGTCACCAGCAAGGAACGGAATATGTACAAGCAATGATGACAAGCCTATGCTCTATCCTAGCTGTTTATATAGAAACATACAAAATACAATCATGAGATAGATCTAGAAAGGTACTAGCTGACTTGGTCTTCGTCTTCATGATGATGATGCTTGGAACTTGTAATGCTGGAAAGTAGTTGCCGTTGCATGCGTTGTCTTCTTGCCTTGTTGTCGTAGTGCTTCTCTGGTTTCTTCTCTCTGCTGCTTTGCTGGTTGGAGTTTCACGTGTGCTTTGAGAAATCTCGAAGCGCACATTTCAGGTTGGGAGTTCCAACCTTGAATTTCACATTTCAGGTTGGGTTTTTGGCGAAAGTTACAAGTTCGCTAGTGAGCGAACTTTCCTGTGGCGAGTTCGCCTTCGCCCTGTAACATTACTCCCCCCTCTAAGGGGCACCGTCCTCGGTGCACCAGCAGATGCAAGGTAGGCAGAGATAGCTCGTTGTGCATGCTGCAGGTCCTTCTCATGCTCACGCCACTTAACCAGAGAGTACCTGCCACTAGGTGTTGTTTCATGAGCAAGAATCTTCTCAACTTCGAACAAATCAGGGCTTGGAGTGAACATGGGAGGACGAGATGGCTGAGAAGTAGGGAGGAAACGAGCTGGAGGATCATGATATGGGCGTAGCAGCTGGACATGGAAGACTGGATGAATGTTGATGTGGGGAGGAAGTTTCAGACGGTATGTGAGTGGAGAGAGGAATTGTGTGATTGTGAAGGGACCAATGAAGCGAGGTGCGAGCTTGCGGGTGAGGTCTTGAGTGAGTAGGGGCAGGTTTGTAGTTGAGAGAAGCACTCTGTCTCCTACGTGAAAGCGGATATCACGTCGGTGCTGGTCTGCATAGTGAATCATGCGCTGCTGTGCCCTGTAGAGTTATGCGTGCTGCTGCTATGGCTTTCTCTCTGTCCTTCAGAAATGTCGTTGCTGCAGTATCACGTTTAGGGCTGTGAACCAGTGAGGTAGGAGTGCGAGGGTTCTGTCCAGTAGCTAGGTAGAATGGGGTCTGTCCAGTAGCAAGGTTAACGGTGTTGTTGTAGGAGAACTCGATTTCTGGCAGGTGGGTGTCCCAATCGTTCTGGCGAGCGTTGACACATGCACGCAAGCCATCTTCCAGCGTTCGATTCATTCTCTCGGTCTGCCCATCAGACTGAGGGTGGTAGGCAGTTGAGAGGCGAATCTTGGTACCCATCCTGTTGAAAAGGGCCTGCCAGAATCTGCCAACGAAACGGGAGTCACGGTCGGAGATAAGGACAGAGGGAATACCGTGAAGACGTACTATTTCTGTGAAGAAGCGTTCAGCAACGTCTTGGGCAGTGGCAGTAGTGGAAGTGGGAATGAAATGGGCCATCTTTGTGGGTTTGTCAACCACAGTGAGAATGGCGTTGTGATGGGCAGCAGTGAGAGGCAAATCAGTGATGAAATCAAGGGTGACATGGCTCCATGGTGTCTCTGGAATTTCCAGGGGATGTAGGAGGCCATAGGGAGGGGAATTGCGAGCTTTGTTGCACTGACAGGTATGGCAGCTGCGCACGTAGGAGCGGACATCACGGTAGATGTTAGGCCAGAAAAAGTTTGATGTGATTGCAGCCACGGTTTTGTCCACTCCGAAGTGTGAATTCTGGTCATGATGCTCGCGTAGGAGGAGGAGACGGAGTTTACGGTCAGAGGGGACGCATATAGCGTGAGAATCTGCTTTGTACCAGAAGGGAGGGTCAAAATAGTATGCTTTGTCGGAAGGGGCAGAATGGAGGTAAAAGTTATCATGGCGGTATCCCTTGGAGAATTTCTTGGTGAAGTCTGGGTCCCATGTCACGCTGCCGATTACAGCAAGCTGAGAGGTTGGGGGACGAGAGAGTACATCGGCAGGGTTTGTACGGCCAGCACGATACTCAATTTTCAGCTCTGGAACGTACTGCTCAAGAAATTCCATCCATCTTGCCTGCCGTGGTGTGAGATGAGGTTGCGTCTTCAAGTGCTGCAGAGTGCAATGGTCCGTCAAGACCGTTACCGGTTGCATGTGAACGTAGCAGCGCCACTTCTTGATAGCATTGACAATGGCCAGCGCTTCTCGGTCATGAGTAGCGTAGTTGCACTCGGCTGGTTTCAGCTTCCGTGAGTCAAAGGCGATGGGCTGAAGGCCATGTCCTTGGTCTTGACACAAGATTGCACCTGTAGCAACTTGAGATGCATCTGTCCATATGACATAAGGAAGGGAGGGGTCGGGTAGGACTAGGGTGGGAGAAGAGGTAAGAGCATGTTTGATGGTGGTGAAGGCTTCTTCCTGTTCAGGTCCCCAATGAAAAGGCTGCTGCTTGCGAAGGAGGTTAGAGAGGGGTGAGGTGATGGCAGCAAAATGGTTGATGAATTTTCTGTAGTAGTTGGCAAGGCCAAGGAAGGCTTGAAGGTCCTTGATGCAAGTGGGCTGCTGCCAGTTCTCAACGACCTGAATCTTGGTGGGGTCCATAGAGAGTTGATTATGAGAGATGATATGACCGAGGAAAGGAATGGAGGCTTTTGCGAATTCACACTTGCTCTCTTTTGCAAAAAGCCGGTGTTCGCGAAGCTTCATGAGTACCTGGCGTAGGTGCTCAGAGTGTTCTTTCAATGACTTGCTGAAAATCAGAATGTCATCAATGAAAACAATGACAAACCGATCAAGGAAGTCACGAAAGATGTTGTGCATCAAGCACATGAAGGTGGCAGGGGCATTTGTGAGTCCAAAGGGAAGTACAAGGAATTCAAAATGCCCGTACCGGGTTCGGAATGCTGTTTTCTCGATGTCTTCTTCAGCAACGCGAACCTGGTGGTAACCGCTTCGAAGGTCAAGCTTGCTGAAAATTTTGGCCTCGCCGAGTTGCTCAAAGAGTTCGTCCACTCGCGGCAGCGGGTATCGGTTCTTGATAGTGAGTTTGTTGAGGGCGCGGTAGTCTATACACATGCGAAGAGATCCATCTTTCTTCTTCACGAAGAGGATAGGGGCTGCATAGGGGGAAGAGCTGACACGAATGAAGCCTTTTTCAAGGAGCTCCTCTAGTTGAGCTTGGACTTCCTTCAGTTCAGCAGCGCTCATGCGGTAGGTAGCACGAACAGGAGGTTCGGATCCAGGTTGTAGCACGATCCGGTGATCCACTGAGCGCTTGGGAGGAAGTCCTGCTGGGAGGTCTGAAGGAAACACATCTTGAAAATCAGTGAGGACTTTCTTAATTTCTGCAGGAGGATTAGGATTAGGAGAAGAAGGGGCTGAAGGGGTTTTTGAGGTTTGTTGCAGCAAGCAAACGAAGAATTGAGCCTGAGGGTCTTTGGAAAGCTTCTTCAGCTGTCTCACTGAAATCACACTGCAGCTGGGTGAGGAAGAGGAGGAAGGGATGGTAGGAAGAGTGATTTCAGCTCCACTGTGCACGATGGTTACTGTTCCAGCAGTCCAATCAATCCGTGGGTTCTTGGATGATAGCCAGTCACGCCCGAGGATTAGATGATGCTCTCCCAAAGGTACTTGCTGGAACTGGAGCTTGTCTTTGTATGAGCCCATGGTGCAGCTGATTGGGAAAGGGGTTGGGCCATACGTGATAGAAGCTCCGTTCGCCATCTGCACTGTTTGAAAATGGAAATCTTGCTGGATAGGAAGAGATAATTCAGAGACAAGGTTTGATGAGATGAAGTTGGAAGAAGCTCCGCTATCAATCATGGCCTTGAAGGTACGGTTCCGTATGCTTATGGAAAGGAGAAGAGGGTTAGATGGGATGGTGTTTTCAAGAGAGATGATGGAAGGGCTCTGCAAGTTGCCAGAAAGTTGCCCCAAGCTTACTGGCGGTGACTGTTTTTTGGTGTTGGAAGCAACGGTGGTCGGTTGGAGCGTTCGCGGCAGAACCTCCACACATGACCTTTCTTGCCGCACTTGAAGCAAACGACATCTGTCTTCACAGGTTTCTTGCCTTTCTCCATCACGTCCAGGTCCATAGGAGCAGGTTCTTGTAAGTTGAATGTTGCTGAAGATGATGACTGGTGGGAGGGAGCAAAAGGGAGAAACGGGCTGCGAGGAAACTGTGCCTTGTAAGCGAAATGAACAGCATCATACCGTTCTGCGACACGTATCATTTCCTCGAGCGTAGTGCAGTCCCTTAGCTCGACCTCCATGCGAACACTTGATTTCAGGCCACGCTTGAAGCGATCCATCTTTTCAGCAGTGGACAGGTCAGGAATCTCCTGGGTGATGTCACGGAAACGTGCCGCATACTCCTGGACGGACTTGAGTTGCTTGAGGGCGGCCAAGCGATCACGCGCTTTGAGTTCCGGGTTCACTGGTTGGAAGGCAGCCGTGAAGAGTTGTTTGAACTGGTCCCACGTGTGAACAGAGGTGTAGATGGACTGCCACCAGGTGATTGCGGAACCTCGAAGAAGCGTTCCTGTGAATGATGTCCACTCAGCAGGTGCAACGTGGCTCAACAGCAAGTACTGCTCGACAAGGAACAGCCATCGGCTCACAACTGGCTGAAACCTTCCTGGCGTGAAGAGATCTGGCATAGCGGGTCTAGCGCGTTGATTTCCATCTGAGGGTGCAGCAGTATTCACACTTGCTGCCACCGAACCGGCTGCAGCTATATTGGCTCGAATTTCAGCTTGCAAGCTCTCCCGAAGTTCAGAAACGATTTGGGCTCGGTAGTTCTGCAAAAAATTAGCCCAATCCTCAGAGGACGGAGGTCCTAAGTCAGACGTCATGACGTGGTCCTAGCAGGAAGTCGTAGTCTAGCTCGGATACCAATTGGAACAGCTCTAGGCTGTTAGTTTCTGAAGGCTAAAGCTTGGAGAGTCTAAAATGACAAGGTAAACTCAGTAGCATAAATTCTGTAAATTTTAGAAAGCAAGAATGGCATACAAGGGATGAACAGCTACTCTTATACACACTTCTATGACTACGGCGCCTTGAGAAGGTCGTTCAGGCCGCCATTGATCTTCTCTCTGCTGTCACCAGCAAGGAACGGAATATGTACAAGCAATGATGACAAGCCTATGCTCTATCCTAGCTGTTTATATAGAAACATACAAAATACAATCATGAGATAGATCTAGAAAGGTACTAGCTGACTTGGTCTTCGTCTTCATGATGATAATGCTTGGAACTTGTAATGCTGGAAAGTAGTTGCCGTTGCATGCGTTGTCTTCTTGCCTTGTTGTCGTAGTGCTTCTCTGGTTTCTTCTCTCTGCTGCTTTGCTGGTTGGAGTTTCACGTGTGCTTTGTGAAATCTCGAAGCGCACATTTCAGGTTGGGAGTTCCAACCTTGAATTTCACATTTCAGGTTGGGTTTTTGGCGAAAGTTACAAGTTCGCTAGTGAGCGAACTTTCCTGTGGCGAGTTCGCCTTCGCCCTGTAACAGCAAGGTAGCATGTACATGCTCAGGTATTTGGTTTAGTGTGGTTCAGCAGGTATGAGGTCTCTTGGGTGTGCCACTGCAGCAGTCAATTCATCCTCGCTTCACTCTTGCACTCATTCGCTCTCACTTCACGCACTTGTCTTCGCCTCTTTACTCATCACCCTCCTTTTCTCCCATATCACACCTCCGTCCTCTCTCCATCCTCCTCCCTTCCTCTTTCTGTCCCGATGTGCCCGCTCTCATTCCAGCAACTCACTCACACGACAGCAGCAGTGGCGGGGGACATGGAGTGCACCAGCAGCACCTGCTCTCCACCCAACCCACCCGCAGCTAAGTACCCGCGCTGCCTCTTGTGTTCATTTTCGGTCCTGCCTCCTCCTCCCTGGTGTTGCCCTCCTCCCCATTGTTGTCTCCTCCTCCCCAGTGTTACCTCTTCCCTCCTCCCTGGTGTTGGCTCCTCCTCCTCGGTGTTGTCTCCTCCCTCCTCCCTGGTGTTGCCTCCACCTCCCTGGTGTTACCTCCTCCTCCCTGGTGTTACCTCCTCCTCCCTGGTGTTGCCTCCTCCTCCCTGGTGTTACCTCCTCCTCCCTGGTGTTGCCTCCTCCTCCCTGGTGTAACCTCCTCCTCCCTGGTGTTACCTCCTCCTCCCTGGTGTTACCTCCTCCTCCCTGGTGTTGCCTCCTCCTCCCTGGTGTTACCTCCTCCTCCCTGGTGTTACCTCCTCCTCCCTGGTGTTGCCTCCTCCTCCCTGGTGTTACCTCCTCCTCCCTGGTGTTACCTCCTCCTCTCTGATGTTGCCTCCTCCTCCCTGGTGTTGCCTCCTCCTCCCTGGTGTTGCCTCCTCCTCCCTGGTGTTGCCTCCTCCTCCCTCGTGTTGCCTCCTCCTCCTTGGCGTTGCCTCCTCCTCCCTGGTGTTACCTCCTCCTCCCTGGTGTTACCTCCTCCTCTCTGGTGTTGCCTCCTCCTCCCTCGTGTTGCCTCCTCCTCCCTGGTGTTGCCTCCTCCTCCCTCGTGTTGCCTCCTCCTCCTTGGTGTTTCCTCCTCCTCCCTGGTGTTGCCTCCTCCTCCCTGGTTTTGCCTCCTCCTCCCTGGTGTTGCCTCCTCCTCCCTGGTGTTGCCTCCTCCTCCCTGGTGTTGCCTCCTCCTCCCTCGTGTTGCCTCCTCCTCCCTCGTGTTGCCTCCTCCTCCTTGGTGTTGCCTCCTCCTCCCTGGTGTTGCCTCCTCCTCCCTCGTGTTGCCTCCTCCTCCCTGGTGTTGCCTCCTCCTCCCTGGTGTTGCCTCCTCCTCCCTCGTGTTGCCTCCTCCTCCCTCGTGTTGCCTCCTCCTCCTTGGTGTTGCCTCCTCCTCCCTGGTGTTGCCTCCTCCTCCCTGGTGTTGCCTCCTCCTCCTTGGTGTTGCCTCCTCCTCCCTGGTGTTGCCTCCTCCTCCCTGGTGTTGCCTCCTCCTCCCTCGTGTTGCCTCCTCCTCGCTGGTGTTCCCTCCTCCTCCCTCGTGTTGCCTCCTCCTCCTTGGTGTTGCCTCCTCCTCCCTGGTGTTCCCTCCTCCTCCCTCGTGTTGCCTCCTCCTCCTTGGTGTTGCCTCCTCCTCCCTGGTGTTGCGTCCTCCTCCCTGGTGTTACCTCCTCCTCCCTGGTGTTGCCTCCTCCTCCCTGGTGTTGCCTCCTCCTCCCTGGTGTTCCCTCCTCCTCCCTGGTGTTGCCTCCTCCTCCCTGGTGTTACCTCCTCCTCCCTGGTGTTGCCTCCTCCTCCCTGGTGTTGCCTCCTCCTCCCTCGTGTTGCCTCCTCCTCCTTGGTGTTGCCTCCTCCTCCCTGGTGTTGCCTCCTCCTCCCTGGTGTTGCCTCCTCCTCCCTCGTGTTGCCTCCTCCTCGCTGGTGTTCCCTCCTCCTCCCTCGTGTTGCCTCCTCCTCCTTGGTGTTGCCTCCTCCTCCCTGGTGTTGCCTCCTCCTCCCTGGTGTTCCCTCCTCCTCCCTGGTGTTGCCTCCTCCTCCCTGGTGTTACCTCCTCCTCCCTGGTGTTGCCTCCTCCTCCCTGGTGTTGCCTCCTCCTCCCTGGTGTTCCCTCCTCCTCCTTGGTGTTGCCTCCTCCTCCCTGGTGTTCCCTCCTCCTCCCTGGTGTTGCCTCCTCCTCCCTGGTGTTACCTCCTCCTCCCTGGTGTTGCCTCCTCCTCCCTGGTGTTGCCTCCTCCTCCCTGGTGTTGCCTCCTCCCTGGTGTTGCCTCCTCCTCCCTGGTGTTGCCTCCTCCATGGTGTTACCTCCTCCTCCCTGGTGTTACCTCCTCCTCTCTGGTGTTGCCTCCTCCTCCCTGGTGTTGCCTCCTCCTCCCTGGTGTTGCCTCCTCCTCCCTGGTGTTGCCTCCTCCTCCCTCGTGTTGCCTCCTCCTCCCTGGTGTTGCCTCCTCCTCCCTGGTTTTGCCTCCTCCTCCCTGGTGTTGCCTCCTCCTCCCTGGTGTTACCTCCTCCTCCCTCGTGTTGCCTCCTCCTCTCTGGTGTTGCCTCCTCCTCCCTGGTGTTGCCTCCTCCTCCCTCGTGTTGCCTCCTCCTCCTTGGTGTTGCCTCCTCCTCCCTGGTGTTGCCTCCTCCTCCCTGGTGTTGCCTCCTCCTCCCTCGTGTTGCCTCCTCCTCCTTGGTGTTGCCTCCTCCTCCCTGATGTTGCCTCCTCCTCCCTGGTGTTACCTCCTCCTCCCTGGTGTTACCTCCTCCTCTCTGGTGTTGCCTCCTCCTCCCTGGTGTTGCCTCCTCCTCCCTCGTGTTGCCTCCTCCTCCTTGGTGTTGCCTCCTCCTCCCTAGTGTTGCCTCCTCCTCCCTGGTGTTGCCTCCTCCTCCCTCGTGTTACCTCCTCCTCCTTGGTGTTGCCTCCTCCTCCCTGGTGTTGCCTCCTCCTCCCTCGTGTTGCCTCCTCCTCCCTGGTCTTACCTCCTCCTCCCTGGTGTTGCCTCCTCCTCCTTGGTGTTGCCTCCTCCTCCCTGGTGTTGCCTCCTCCTCCCTGGTGTTGCCTCCTCCTCCCTCGTGTTGCCTCCTCCTCGCTGGTGTTCCCTCCTCCTCCCTCGTGTTGCCTCCTCCTCCTTGGTGTTGCCTCCTCCTCCCTGGTGTTTCCTCCTCCTCCCTCGTGTTGCCTCCTCCTCCTTGGTGTTGCCTCCTCCTCCCTGGTGTTGCGTCCTCCTCCCTGGTGTTACCTCCTCCTCCCTGGTGTTGCCTCCTCCTCCCTGGTGTTGCCTCCTCCTCCCTGGTGTTCCCTCCTCCTCCCTGGTGTTGCCTCCTCCTCCCTGGTGTTACCTCCTCCTCCCTGGTGTTGCCTCCTCCTCCCTGGTGTTGCCTCCTCCTCCCTCGTGTTGCCTCCTCCTCCTTGGTGTTGCCTCCTCCTCCCTGGTGTTGCCTCCTCCTCCCTGGTGTTGCCTCCTCCTCCCTCGTGTTGCCTCCTCCTCGCTGGTGTTCCCTCCTCCTCCCTGGTGTTGCCTCCTCCTCCCTGGTGTTGCCTCCTCCTCCCTCGTGTTGCCTCCTCCTCCTTGGTGTTGCCTCCTCCTCCCTGGTGTTGCCTCCTCCTCCCTCGTGTTGCCTCCTCCTCCCTCGTGTTGCCTCCTCCTCGCTGGTGTTCCCTCCTCCTCCCTCGTGTTGCCTCCTCCTCCTTGGTGTTGCCTCCTCCTCCCTGGTGTTTCCTCCTCCTCCCTCGTGTTGCCTCCTCCTCCTTGGTGTTGCCTCCTCCTCCCTGGTGTTGCGTCCTCCTCCCTGGTGTTACCTCCTCCTCCCTGGTGTTGCCTCCTCCTCCCTGGTGTTGCCTCCTCCTCCCTGGTGTTCCCTCCTCCTCCCTGGTGTTGCCTCCTCCTCCCTGGTGTTACCTCCTCCTCCCTGGTGTTGCCTCCTCCTCCCTGGTGTTGCCTCCTCCTCCCTCGTGTTGCCTCCTCCTCCTTGGTGTTGCCTCCTCCTCCCTGGTGTTGCCTCCTCCTCCCTGGTGTTGCCTCCTCCTCCCTCGTGTTGCCTCCTCCTCGCTGGTGTTCCCTCCTCCTCCCTCGTGTTGCCTCCTCCTCCTTGGTGTTGCCTCCTCCTCCCTGGTGTTCCCTCCTCCTCCCTGGTGTTGCCTCCTCCTCCCTGGTGTTACCTCCTCCTCCCTGGTGTTGCCTCCTCCTCCCTGGTGTTGCCTCCTCCTCCCTGGTGTTCCCTCCTCCTCCTTGGTGTTGCCTCCTCCTCCCTCGTGTTGCCTCCTCCTCCTTGGTGTTGCCTCCTCCTCCCTGGTGTTGCCTCCTCCTCCCTCGTGTTGCCTCCTCCTCCCTGGTGTTGCCTCCTCCTCCCTGGTGTTACCTCCTCCTCCCTGGTGTTGCCTCCTCCTCCCTGGTGTTGCCTCCTCCTCCCTGGTGTTACCTCCTCCTCTCTGGTGTTGCCTCCTCCTCCCTGGTGTTGCCTCCTCCTCCCTCGTGTTGCCTCCTCCTCCTTGGTGTTGCCTCCTCCTCCCTGGCGTTGCCTCCTCCTCCCTGGTGTTGCCTCCTCCTCCCTCGTGTTGCCTCCTCCTCCTTGGTGTTGCCTCCTCCTCCCTGGTGTTGCCTCCTCCTCCCTCGTGTTGCCTCCTCCTCCCTGGTGTTGCCTCCTCCTCCCTGGTGTTGCCTCCTCCTCCTTGGTGTTGCCTCCTCCTCCCTGGTGTTGCCTCCTCCTCCCTGGTGTTGCCTCCTCCTCCCTGGTGTTACCTCCTCCTCTCTGGTGTTGCCTCCTCCTCCCTGGTGTTGCCTCCTCCTCCCTCGTGTTGCCTCCTCCTCCTTGGTGTTGCCTCCTCCTCCCTGGTGTTGCCTCCTCCTCCCTGGTGTTGCCTCCTCCTCCCTCGTGTTGCCTCCTCCTCCTTGGTGTTGCCTCCTCCTCCCTCGTGTTGCCTCCTCCTCCTTGGTGTTGCCTCCTCCTCCCTGGTGTTACCTCCTCCTCCCTGGTGTTGCCTCCTCCTCCCTGGTGTTGCCTCCTCCTCCTTGGTGTTGCCTCCTCCTCCCTCGTGTTGCCTCCTCCTCCTTGGTGTTGCCTCCTCCTCCCTGGTGTTACCTCCTCCTCCCTGGTGTTGCCTCCTCCTCCCTGGTGTTACCTCCTCCTCCCTGGTGTTACCTCCTCCTCTCTGGTGTTGCCTCCTCCTCCCTGGTGTTGCCTCCTCCTCCCTGGTGTTGCCTCCTCCTCCCTGGTGTTGCCTCCTCCTCCCTGGTGTTGCCTCCTCCTCCCTCGTGTTGCCTCCTCCTCCTTGGTGTTGCCTCCTCCTCCCTCGTGTTGCCTCCTCCTCCTTGGTGTTGCCTCCTCCTCCCTGGTGTTACCTCCTCCTCCCTGGTGTTGCCTCCTCCTCCCTGGTGTTACCTCCTCCTCCCTGGTGTTACCTCCTCCTCTCTGGTGTTGCCTCCTCCTCCCTGGTGTTGCCTCCTCCTCCCTGGTGTTGCCTCCTCCTCCCTGGTGTTGCCTCCTCCTCCCTGGTGTTGCCTCCTCCTCCCTCGTGTTGCCTCCTCCTCCTTGGTGTTGCCTCCTCCTCCCTCGTGTTGCCTCCTCCTCCTTGGTGTTGCCTCCTCCTCCCTGGTGTTACCTCCTCCTCCCTGGTGTTGCCTCCTCCTCCCTGGTGTTACCTCCTCCTCCCTGGTGTTACCTCCTCCTCTCTGGTGTTGCCTCCTCCTCCCTGGTGTTGCCTCCTCCTCCCTGGTGTTACCTCCTCCTCCTTGGTGTTGCCTCCTCCTCCCTGGTGTTGCCTCCTCCTCCCTCGTGTTGCCTCCTCCTCCCTGGTCTTACCTCCTCCTCCCTGGTGTTGCCTCCTCCTCCTTGGTGTTGCCTCCTCCTCCCTGGTGTTGCCTCCTCCTCCCTGGTGTTGCCTCCTCCTCCCTCGTGTTGCCTCCTCCTCGCTGGTGTTCCCTCCTCCTCCCTCGTGTTGCCTCCTCCTCCTTGGTGTTGCCTCCTCCTCCCTGGTGTTCCCTCCTCCTCCCTGGTGTTGCCTCCTCCTCCCTGGTGTTACCTCCTCCTCCCTGGTGTTGCCTCCTCCTCCCTGGTGTTGCCTCCTCCTCCCTGGTGTTCCCTCCTCCTCCTTGGTGTTGCCTCCTCCTCCCTCGTGTTGCCTCCTCCTCCTTGGTGTTGCCTCCTCCTCCCTGGTGTTGCCTCCTCCTCCCTCGTGTTGCCTCCTCCTCCCTGGTGTTGCCTCCTCCTCCCTGGTGTTACCTCCTCCTCCCTGGTGTTGCCTCCTCCTCCCTGGTGTTGCCTCCTCCTCCCTGGTGTTACCTCCTCCTCTCTGGTGTTGCCTCCTCCTCCCTGGTGTTGCCTCCTCCTCCCTCGTGTTGCCTCCTCCTCCTTGGTGTTGCCTCCTCCTCCCTGGCGTTGCCTCCTCCTCCCTGGTGTTGCCTCCTCCTCCCTCGTGTTGCCTCCTCCTCCTTGGTGTTGCCTCCTCCTCCCTGGTGTTGCCTCCTCCTCCCTCGTGTTGCCTCCTCCTCCCTGGTGTTGCCTCCTCCTCCCTGGTGTTGCCTCCTCCTCCTTGGTGTTGCCTCCTCCTCCCTGGTGTTGCCTCCTCCTCCCTGGTGTTGCCTCCTCCTCCCTGGTGTTACCTCCTCCTCTCTGGTGTTGCCTCCTCCTCCCTGGTGTTGCCTCCTCCTCCCTCGTGTTGCCTCCTCCTCCTTGGTGTTGCCTCCTCCTCCCTGGTGTTGCCTCCTCCTCCCTGGTGTTGCCTCCTCCTCCCTCGTGTTGCCTCCTCCTCCTTGGTGTTGCCTCCTCCTCCCTCGTGTTGCCTCCTCCTCCTTGGTGTTGCCTCCTCCTCCCTGGTGTTACCTCCTCCTCCCTGGTGTTGCCTCCTCCTCCCTGGTGTTACCTCCTCCTCCCTGGTGTTACCTCCTCCTCTCTGGTGTTGCCTCCTCCTCCCTGGTGTTGCCTCCTCCTCCCTGGTGTTGCCTCCTCCTCCCTGGTGTTGCCTCCTCCTCCCTCATGTTGCCTCCTCCTCCTTGGTGTTGCCTCCTCCTCCCTGGTGTTACCTCCTCCTCCCTGGTGTTTACCTCCTCCTCTCTGGTGTTGCCTCCTCCTCCCTGGTGTTGCCTCCTCCTCCCTGGTGTTACCTCCTCCTCCCTGGTGTTACCTCCTCCTCTCTGGTGTTGCCTCCTCCTCCCTGGTGTTGCCTCCTCCTCCCTGGTGTTGGCTCCTCCTCCCTGGTGTTGCCTCCTCCTCCCTCGTGTTGCCTCCTCCTCCCTGGTGTTACCTCCTCCTCTCTGGTGTTGCCTCCTCCTCCCTCGTGTTGCCTCCTCCTCCCTGGTGTTGCCTCCTCCTCCCTCGTGTTGCCTCCTCCTCCTTGGTGTTGCCTCCTCCTCCCTGGTGTTGGCTCCTCCTCCCTGGTGTTGCCTCCTCCTCCCTGGTGTTGCCTCCTCCTCCCTCGTGTTGCCTCCTCCTCCTTGGTGTTGCCTCCTCCTCCCTGGTGTTGCCTCCTCCTCCCTCGTGTTGCCTCCTCCTCCCTGGTGTTGCCTCCTCCTCCCTCGTGTTGCCTCCTCCTCCTTGGTGTTGCCTCCTCCTCCCTGGTGTTGCCTCCTCCTCCCTGGTGTTGCCTACTCCTCCCTCGTGTTGCCTCCTCCTCGCTGGTGTTCCCTCCTCCTCCCTCGTGTTGCCTCCTCCTCCTTGGTGTTGCCTCCTCCTCCCTGGTGTTCCCTCCTCCTCCCTCGTGTTGCCTCCTCCTCCTTGGTGTTGCCTCCTCCTCCCTGGTGTTGCGTCCTCCTCCCTGGTGTTACCTCCTCCTCCCTGGTGTTGCCTCCTCCTCCCTGGTGTTGCCTCCTCCTCCCTGGTGTTCCCTCCTCCTCCCTGGTGTTGCCTCCTCCTCCCTGGTGTTACCTCCTCCTCCCTGGTGTTGCCTCCTCCTCCCTGGTGTTGCCTCCTCCTCCCTCGTGTTGCCTCCTCCTCCTTGGTGTTGCCTCCTCCTCCCTGGTGTTGCCTCCTCCTCCCTGGTGTTGCCTCCTCCTCCCTCGTGTTGCCTCCTCCTCGCTGGTGTTCCCTTCTCCTCCCTCGTGTTGCCTCCTCCTCCTTGGTGTTGCCTCCTCCTCCCTGGTGTTGCCTCCTCCTCCCTGGTGTTCCCTCCTCCTCCCTGGTGTTGCCTCCTCCTCCCTGGTGTTACCTCCTCCTCCCTGGTGTTGCCTCCTCCTCCCTGGTGTTGCCTCCTCCTCCCTGGTGTTCCCTCCTCCTCCTTGGTGTTGCCTCCTCCTCCCTGGTGTTCCCTCCTCCTCCCTGGTGTTGCCTCCTCCTCCCTGGTGTTACCTCCTCCTCCCTGGTGTTGCCTCCTCCTCCCTGGTGTTGCCTCCTCCTCCCTGGTGTTGCCTCCTCCCTGGTGTTGCCTCCTCCTCCCTGGTGTTGCCTCCTCCATGGTGTTACCTCCTCCTCCCTGGTGTTACCTCCTCCTCTCTGGTGTTGCCTCCTCCTCCCTGGTGTTGCCTCCTCCTCCCTGGTGTTGCCTCCTCCTCCCTGGTGTTGCCTCCTCCTCCCTCGTGTTGCCTCCTCCTCCCTGGTGTTACCTCCTCCTCCCTGGTGTTACCTCCTCCTCTCTGGTGTTGCCTCCTCCTCCCTGGTGTTGCCTCCTCCTCCCTGGTGTTGCCTCCTCCCTTCCTCCTCCCTGGTGTTACCTCCTCCTCTCTGGTGTTGCCTCCTCCTCCCTGGTGTTGCCTCCTCCTCCCTCGTGTTGCCTCCTCCTCCTTGGTGTTGCCTCCTCCTCCCTGGTGTTGCCTCCTCCTCCCTGGTGTTGCCTCCTCCTCCCTCGTGTTGCCTCCTCCTCCTTGGTGTTGCCTCCTCCTCCCTGGTGTTGCCTCCTCCTCCCTGGTGTTGCCTCCTCCTCCCTCGTGTTGCCTCCTCCTCCTTGGTGTTGCCTCCTCCTCCCTGGTGTTGCCTCCTCCTCCCTCGTGTTGCCTCCTCCTCCCTGGTGTTGCCTCCTCCTCCCTGGTGTTGCCTCCTCCTCCTTGGTGTTGCCTCCTCCTCCCTGGTGTTGCCTCCTCCTCCCTGGTGTTGCCTCCTCCTCCCTCGTGTTGCCTCCTCCTCGCTGGTGTTCCCTCCTCCTCCCTCGTGTTGCCTCCTCCTCCTTGGTGTTGCCTCCTCCTCCCTGGTGTTCCCTCCTCCTCCCTCGTGTTGCCTCCTCCTCCTTGGTGTTGCCTCCTCCTCCCTGGTGTTGCGTCCTCCTCCCTGGTGTTACCTCCTCCTCCCTGGTGTTGCCTCCTCCTCCCTGGTGTTGCCTCCTCCTCCCTGGTGTTGCCTCCTCCTCCCTGGTGTTGCCTCCTCCTCCCTCGTGTTGCCTCCTCCTCCTTGGTGTTGCCTCCTCCTCCCTGGTGTTGCCTCCTCCTCCCTCGTGTTGCCTCCTCCTCCCTGGTGTTGCCTCCTCCTCCCTGGTGTTGCCTCCTCCTCCTTGGTGTTGCCTCCTCCTCCCTGGTGTTGCCTCCTCCTCCCTGGTGTTGCCTACTCATCCCTCGTGTTGCCTCCTCCTCGCTGGTGTTCCCTCCTCCTCCCTCGTGTTGCCTCCTCCTCCTTGGTGTTGCCTCCTCCTCCCTGGTGTTCCCTCCTCCTCCCTCGTGTTGCCTCCTCCTCCTTGGTGTTGCCTCCTCCTCCCTGGTGTTGCGTCCTCCTCCCTGGTGTTACCTCCTCCTCCCTGGTGTTGCCTCCTCCTCCCTGGTGTTAACTCCTCCTCCCTGGTGTTCCCTCCTCCTCCCTGGTGTTGCCTCCTCCTCCCTGGTGTTACCTCCTCCTCCCTGGTGTTGCCTCCTCCTCCCTGGTGTTGCCTCCTCCTCCCTCGTGTTGCCTCCTCCTCCTTGGTGTTGCCTCCTCCTCCCTGGTGTTGCCTCCTCCTCCCTGGTGTTGCCTCCTCCTCCCTCGTGTTGCCTCCTCCTCGCTGGTGTTCCCTTCTCCTCCCTCGTGTTGCCTCCTCCTCCTTGGTGTTGCCTCCTCCTCCCTGGTGTTGCCTCCTCCTCCCTGGTGTTCCCTCCTCCTCCCTGGTGTTGCCTCCTCCTCCCTGGTGTTACCTCCTCCTCCCTGGTGTTGCCTCCTCCTCCCTGGTGTTGCCTCCTCCTCCCTGGTGTTCCCTCCTCCTCCTTGGTGTTGCCTCCTCCTCCCTGGTGTTCCCTCCTCCTCCCTGGTGTTGCCTCCTCCTCCCTGGTGTTACCTCCTCCTCCCTGGTGTTGCCTCCTCCTCCCTGGTGTTGCCTCCTCCTCCCTGGTGTTGCCTCCTCCCTGGTGTTGCCTCCTCCTCCCTGGTGTTGCCTCCTCCCTGGTGTTACCTCCTCCTCCCTGGTGTTACCTCCTCCTCTCTGGTGTTGCCTCCTCCTCCCTGGTGTTGCCTCCTCCTCCCTCGTGTTGCCTCCTCCTCCTTGGTGTTGCCTCCTCCTCCCTGGTGTTGCCTCCTCCTCCCTGGTGTTGCCTCCTCCTCCCTCGTGTTGCCTCCTCCTCCTTGGTGTTGCCTCCTCCTCCTTGGTGTTGCCTCCTCCTCCCTGGTGTTGCCTCCTCCTCCCTCGTGTTGCCTCCTCCTCCTTGGTGTTGCCTCCTCCTCCCTGGTGTTGCCTCCTCCTCCCTCGTGTTGCCTCCTCCTCCCTGGTGTTGCCTCCTCCTCCCTGGTGTTGCCTCCTCCTCCTTGGTGTTGCCTCCTCCTCCCTGGTGTTGCCTCCTCCTCCCTGGTGTTGCCTCCTCCTCCCTCGTGTTGCCTCCTCCTCGCTGGTGTTCCCTCCTCCTCCCTCGTGTTGCCTCCTCCTCCTTGGTGTTGCCTCCTCCTCCCTGGTGTTCCCTCCTCCTCCCTCGTGTTGCCTCCTCCTCCTTGGTGTTGCCTCCTCCTCCCTGGTGTTGCGTCCTCCTCCCTGGTGTTACCTCCTCCTCCCTGGTGTTGCCTCCTCCTCCCTGGTGTTGCCTCCTCCTCCCTGGTGTTGCCTCCTCCTCCCTCGTGTTGCCTCCTCCTCCTTGGTGTTGCCTCCTCCTCCCTGGTGTTGCCTCCTCCTCCCTGGTGTTACCATCCTCCTCCCTGGTGTTGCCTCCTCCTCCCTCGTGTTGCCTCCTCCTCCCTCGTGTTGCCTCCTCCTCCTTGGTGTTGCCTCCTCCTCCCTGGTGTTGCCTCCTCCTCCCTCGTGTTGCCTCCTCCTCCCTGGTGTTGCCTCCTCCTCCCTGGTGTTTGCCTCCTCCTCCTTGGTGTTGCCTCCTCCTCCCTGGTGTTGCCTCCTCCTCCCTGGTGTTGCCTCCTCCTCCCTGGTGTTACCTCCTCCTCCCCTCGTGTTGCCTCCTCCTCTCTGGTGTTGCCTCCTCCTCCCTGGTGTTGCCTCCTCCTCCCTCGTGTTGCCTCCTCCTCCTTGGTGTTGCCTCCTCCTCCCTGGTGTTCCCTCCTCCTCCCTGGTGTTGCCTCCTCCTCCCTGGTGTTACCATCCTCCTCCCTGGTGTTGCCTCCTCCTCCCTGGTGTTACCTCCTCCTCCCTGGTGTTACCTCCTCCTCCCTGGTGTTGCCTCCTCCTCCCTCGTGTTGCCTCCTCCTCCTTGGTGTTGCCTCCTCCTCCCTGGTGTTGCCTCCTCCTCCCTGGTGTTACCTCCTCCTCCCTGGTGTTGCCTCCTCCTCCCTCGTGTTGCCTCCTCCTCCCTCGTGTTGCCTCCTCCTCCTTGGTGTTGCCTCCTCCTCCCTGGTGTTGCCTCCTCCTCCCTGGTGTTGCCTCCTCCTCGCTGGTGTTCCCTCCTCCTCCCTCGTGTTGCCTCCTCCTCCTTGGTGTTGCCTCCTCCTCCCTGGTGTTGCCTCCTCCTCCCTGGTGTTGCCTCCTCCTCCCTGGTGTTACCTCCTCCTCCCTGGTGTTGCCTCCTCCTCCCTGGTGTTGCCTCCTCCTCCCTGGTGTTGCCTCCTCCTCCCTGGTGTTACCTTCTCCTCCCTGGTGTTGCCTCCTCCTCCCTGGTGTTGCCTCCTCCTCCCTGGTGTTGCCTCCTCCTCCCTGGTGTTACCTCCTCCTCCCTGGTGTTACCTCCTCCTCTCTGGTGTTGCCTCCTCCTCCCTGGTGTTGCCTCCTCCTCCTTGGTGTTGCCTCCTCCTCCCTGGTGTTGCCTCCTCCTCCCTCGTGTTGCCTCCTCCTCCTTGGTGTTGCCTCCTCCTCCCTGGTGTTGCCTCCTCCTCCCTGGTGTTAACCTCCTCCTCCCTGGTGTTGCCTCCTCCTCCCTCGTGTTACCTCCTCCTCCCTGGTGTTACCTTCTCCTCCCTGGTTTTTGCCTCCTCCTCCCTGGTGTTGCCTCCTCCTCCCTGGTGTTGCCTCCTCCTCCCTGGTGTTGCCATCCTCCTCCCTGGTGTTCCCTCCTCCTCCCTGGTGTTGCCCTCCTCCTCCCTGGTGTTACCTCCTCCTCCCTGGTGTTGCCTCTCCTCCCTGGTGTTGCCTCCTCCTCCCTGGTGTTCCCATCCTCCTCCTTGGTGTTGCCTCCTCCTCCCTCGTGTTGCCTCCTCCTCCTTGGTGTTGCCTCCTCCTCCCTGGTGTTGCCTCCTCCTCCCTGGTGTTGCCATCCTCCTCCCTCGTGTTGCCTCCTCCTCCTTGGTGTTGCCTCCTCCTCCCTGGTGTTGCCTCCTCTCTCCCTGGTGGTTACCTCCGCCTCCCTGGTGTTACATCCTCCTCTCTGGTGTTGCCTCCTCCTCCCTGGTGTTGCCTCCTCCTCCCTGCGTGTTGCCTCCTCCTCCTTGGTGTTGCCTCCTCCTCCCTGGTGTTGCCTCCTCCTCCCTGTGTTTGCCTCCTCCTCCTCGTGTGTGCCTCCTCCTCCCTGGTGTTGCCTCCTCCTCCCTGGTGTTGCCTCCTCCTCCCTGTGTTGCCTCCTCCTCCCTGGTGTTACCTCCTCCTCCCTCGTGTTGCCTCCTCCTCTCTGGTGTTGCCTCCTCCTCCCTGGTGTTGCCTCCTCCTCCCTCGTGTTGCCTCCTCCTCCTTGGTGTTGCCTCCTCCTCCCTGGTGTTGCCTCCTCCTCCCTGGTGTTGCCTCCTCCTCCCTCGTGTTGCCTCCTCCTCCTTGGTGTTGCCTCCTCCTCCCTGGTGTTGCCCTCCTCCTCCCGGGTGTTGCCTCCTCCTGCACTCGTGTTGCCTCCTCCTCTGTGTTGCCTCCTCCTCCCTGGTGTTGCCTCCTCCTCCCTGGTGTTGCCTCCTCCTCCCTGGTGTTGCCTCCTCCTCCCTGGTGTTGCCTCCTCCTCCCTGGTGTTGCCTCCTCCTCCTTGGTGTTGCCTCCTCCTCCCTGGGGGTTGCCTCCTCCTCCTGGTGTTTGCCTCCTCCTCCCTCGTGTTGCATCCTCCATCGCTGGTGTTCCCTCCTCCTCCCTCGTGTTGCCTCCTCCTCCTTGGTGTTGCCTCCTCCTCCCTGGTGTTTCCTCCTCCTCCCTCGTGTTGCCTCCTCCTCCTTGGTGTTGCCTCCTCCTCCCTGGTGTTGCCGTCCTCCTCCCTGGTGTTACCTCCTCCTCCCTGGTGTTGCCTCCTCCTCCCTGGTGTTGCCTCCTCCTCCCTGGTGTTGCCTCCTCCTCCTTCGTGTTGCCGTCCTCCTCCTTGGTGTTGCCTCCTCCTCCCTGGTGTTGCCTCCTCCTCCCTGGTGTTACCTCCTCCTCCCTGGTGTTGCCTCCTCCTCCTCGTGTTGCCTCCTCCTCCCTCGTGTTGCCTCCTACTCCTTGGTGTTGCCTCCTCCCTCCCTGTGTTGCCTCCTCCTCCCTCGTGTTGCCTCCTCCTCCCTGGTGTTGCCTCCTCCTCCCTGGTGTTGCCTCCTCCTCCTTGGTGTTGCCTCCTCCTCCCTGGTGTTGCCTCCTCCTCACTTGGTGTTGCCTCCTCCTCCCTCATGTTGCCTCCTCCTCCTTGGGTGTTGCCTCCTCCTCCCGGGTGTTACCTCCTCCTCCCTGGTGTTACCTCCTCCTCTCTGGTGTTGCCTCCTCCTCCCTGGTGTTGCCTCCTCCTCCCTGGTTTACCTCCTCCTCCCTGGTGTTGACCTCCTCCTCTCTGGTGTTGCCTCCTCCTCCCTGGTGTTGCCTCCTCCTCCCTGGTGTTGCCTCCTCCTCCCTGGTGTTGCCTCCTCCTCCCTCGTGTTTGCCTCCTCCTCCTTGGTGTTGCCTCCTCCTCCCTGGTGTTACCTCCTCCTCCCTGGTGTTACATCCCTTCTCTCTGGTGTTGCCTCCTCCTCCCTTGTTTTGCCTCCTCCTCCCTGGTGTTGCCTCCTCCTCCCTCGTGTTGCCTCCTCCTCCCTGGTGTTGCCGTCCTCCTCCCTGGTGTTGCCTCCTCCTCCCTGGTGTTGCCTCCTCCTCCCTGGTGTTACCTCCTCCTCCCTCGTGTTGCCCTCCTCCTCTCTGGTGTTGCCTCCTCCTCCCTGGTGTTGCCTCCTCCTCCCTCGTGTTGCCTCCTCCTCCTTGGTGTTGCCTCCTCCTCCCTGGTGTTCCCTCCTCCTCCCTGGTGTTGCCTCCTCCTCCCTGGTGTTACCTCCTCCTCCCTGGTGTTGCCTCCTCCTCCCTGGTGGTTGCCTCCTCCTCCTCGTGTTGCCTCCTCCTCCTTGGTGTTGCCTCCTCCTCCCTGGTGTTGCCTCCTCCTCCCTGGTGTTGCCTCCTCCTCCTCGTGTTGCCTCCTCCTCGCTGGTGTTCCCTCCTCCTCCCTCGTGTTGGCCTCCTCCTCCTTGGTGTTGCCTCCTCTCCCTGGTGTTCCCTCCTCCTCCCTGGTGTTGCCTCCTCCTCCCTGGTGTTACCTCCTCCTCCCTGGTGTTGCCTCCTCCTCCCTGGTGTTGCCTCCTCCTCCCTGGTGTTCCCTCCTCCTCCTTGTGTTGCCTCCTCCTCCCTCGTGTTGCCTCCTCCTCCTGGTGTTGCCTCCTCCTCCTTGGTGTTGCCTCCTCCTCCCTGGTGTTCCTCCTCCTCCCTGGTGTTGCCTCCTCCTCCTGGTGTTACCTCCTCCTCCCTGGTGTTGCCTCCTCCTCCCTGGTGTTACCTCCTCCTCCCTGGTGTTACCTCCTCCTCCCTGGTGTTGCCTCCTCCTCCCTCGTGTTGCCTCCTCCTCCTTGGTGTTGCCTCCTCCTCCCTGGTGTTGCCTCCTCCTCCTGGTGTTGCCTCCTCCTCCCTGGTGTTACCTCCTCCTCCTCTGGTGTTGCCTCCTCCTCCCTGGTGTTGCCTCCTCCTCCCTGGTGTTGCCTCCTCCTCCTTGGTGTTGCCTCCTCCTCCCTGGTGTTGCCTCCTCCTCCCTGGTGTTGCCTCCTCCTCCCTCGTGTTGCCTCCTCCTCCCTGGTGTTGCCTCCTCCTCCCTGGTGTTGCCTCCTCCTCCCTGGTGTTGCCTCCTCCTCCCTGGTGTTGCCTCCTCCTCCCTGGTGTTGCCTCCTCCTCCCTGGTGTTGCCTCCTCCTCCCTGGTGTTGCCTCCTCCTCCCTCGTGTTGCCTCCTCCTCCCTCGTGTTGCCTCCTCCTCGCTGGTGTTGCCCTCCTCCTCCCTCGTGTTGCCTCCTCCTCCTTGTGTGTGCCTCCTCCTCCCTGGTGTTCCCTCCTCCTCCCTCGTGTTGCCTCCTCCTCCTTGGTGTTGCCTCCTCCTCCCTGGTGTTGCCTCCTCCTCCCTGGTGTTACCTCCTCCTCCCTGTGTTGCCTCCTCCTCCCTGGTGTTGCCTCCCCCTCCCTGGTGTTCCCTCCTCCTCCCTGGTGTTGCCTCCTCCTCCCTGGTGTTACCTCCTCCTCCCTGGTGTTGCCTCCTCCTCCCTGGTGTTGCCTCCTCCTCCCTGGTGTTGCCTCCTCCTCCTTGGTGTTGCCTCCTCCTCCCTGGTGTTGCCTCCTCCTCCCTGGTGTTGCCTCCTCCTCCCTCGTGTTGCCTCCTCCTCCCTGGTGTTCCCTCCTCCTCCCTCGTGTTGCCTCCTCCTCCTTGGTGTTGCCTCCTCCTCCCTGGTGTTCCCTCCTCCTCCCTGGTGTTGCCTCCTCCTCCCTGGTGTTACCTCCTCCTCCCTGGTGTTGCCTCCTCCTCCCTGGTGTTGCCTCCTCCTCCCTGTGTTTTCCTCCTCCTCCTTGGTGTTGCCTCCTCCTCCCTGGTGTTGCCTCCTCCTCCTTGGTGTTGCCTCCTCCTCCCTGGTGTTGCCTCCTCCTCCCTGGTGTTGCCTCCTCCTCCCTCGTGTTGCCTCCTCCTCCTTGGTGTTGCCTCCTCCTCCCTGGTGTTGCCTCCTCCTCCCTGGTGTTGCCTCCTCCTCCCTGGTGTTACCTCCTCCTCCCTGGTGTTGCCTCCTCCTCCCTGGTGTTGCCTCCTCCTCCCTGGTGTTGCCTCCTCCTCCTTGCTCGTGTTGCCTCCTCCTCCCTGGTGTTGCCTCCTCCTCCCTGGTGTTGCCTCCTCCTCCCTCGTGTTGCCTCCTCCTCCCTGGTGTTGCCTCCTCCTCCCTGGTGTTGCCTCCTCCTCCCTGGTGTTGCCTCCTCCTCCCTGGTGTTCCCCTCCTCCTCCTCCCTCGTGTTGCCTCCTCCTCTCTGGTGTTGCCTCCTCCTCCCTGGTGTTGCCTCCTCCTCCCTGGTGTTGCCTCCTCCTCCTTGGTGTTGCCTCCTCCTCCCTCCCTGGTGTTGCCTCCTCCTCCCTGGTGTTGCCTCCTCCTCCCTGGTGTTACCTCCTCCTCCCTCCCTGGTGTTGCCTCCTCCTCCTGGTGTTACCTCCTCCTCCCTGGTGTTACCTCCTCCTCCCTGGTGTTGCCTCCTCCTCCCTCGTGTTGCCTCCTCCTCCTTGGTGTTGCCTCCTCCTCCCTGGTGTATCCTCCTCCTCCCTGGTGTTACCTCCTCCTCCCTGGTGTTGCCTCCTCCTCCCTGGTGTTGCCTCCTCCTCCCTGGTGTTGCCTCCTCCTCCCTCGTGTTGCCTCCTCCTCCTTGGTGTTGCCTCCTCCTCCCTGGTGTTGCCTCCTCCTCCCTGGTGTTGCCTCCTCCTCCCTGGTGTTTGCCTCCTCCTCCCTGGTGTTGCCTCCTCCTCCCTGGTGTTGCCTCCCCTCCCTCTCCCTGGTGTTACCTCCTCCTCCCTGGTGTTGCCTCCTCCTCCCTGGTGTTGCCTCCTCCTCCCTGGTGTTGCCTCCTCCTCCCTGGTGTTGCCTCCTCCTCCCTGGTGTTGCCTCCTCCTCTGGTGTTGCCTCCTCCTCCCTGGTGTTACCTCCTCCTCTCTGGTGTTGCCTCCTCCTCCCTGGTGTTGCCTCCTCCTCCTCGTGTTGCCTCCTCCTCCTTGGTGTTGCCTCCTCCTCCCTGGTGTTGCCTCCTCCTCCCTGTGTTGCCTCCTCCTCCCTGGTGTTGCCTCCTCCTCCTTGGTGTTGCCTCCTCCTCCCTGGTGTTGCCTCCTCCTCCCTGGTGTTGCCTCCTCCTCCCTCGTGTTGCCTCCTCCTCCTTGGTGTTGCCTCCTCCTCCCTGGTGTTGCCTCCTCCTCCCTCGTGTTGCCTCCTCCTCCCTGGTGTTGCCTCCTCCTCCCTGGTGTTGCCTCCTCCTCCTTGGTGTTGCCTCCTCCTCCCTGGTGTTGCCTCCTCCTCCCTGGTGTTGCCTCCTCCTCCCTGGTGTTGCCTCCTCCTCGCTGGTGTTCCTCCTCCTCCCTCGTGTTGCCTCCTCCTCCTTGGTGTTGCCTCCTCCTCCCTGGTGTTCCCTCCTCCTCCCTGGTGTTGCCTCCTCCTCCTTGGTGTTGCCTCCTCCTCCCTGGTGTTGCCTCCTCCTCCCTGGTGTTACCTCCTCCTCCCTGGTGTTGCCTCCTCCTCCCTGGTGTTGCCTCCTCCTCCCTGGTGTTTGCCCTCCTCCTCGTGTTGCCTCCTCCTCCTTGGTGTTGCCTCCTCCTCCCTGGTGTTGCCTCCTCCTCCCTGGTGTTGCCTCCTCCTCCCTGGTGTTGCCTCCTCCTCCCTGGTGTTGCCTCCTCCTCCCTGGTGTTGCCTCCTCCTCCTTGGTGTTGCCTCCTCCTCCCTGGTGTTGCCTCCTCCTCCCTGGTGTTGCCTCCTCCTCCCTGGTGTTGCCTCCTCCTCCCTGGTGTTGCCTCCTCCTCCTTGGTGTTGCCTCCTCCTCCTGGTGTTGCCTCCTCCTCCCTGGTGTTGCCTCCTCCTCCCTCATGTTGCCTCCTCCTCCCTGTGTTGCCTCCTCCTCCCTGGTGTTGCCTCCTCCTCCCTGGTGTTACCTCCTCCTCCCTGGTGTTGCCTCCTCCTCCCTGGTGTTGCCTCCTCCTCCCTGGTGTTACCTCCTCCTCCTGGTGTTACCTCCTCCTCCCTGGTGTTGCCTCCTCCTCCCTGGTGTTGCCTCCTCCTCCCGGTGTTGCCTCCTCCTCCCTGGTGTTGCCTCCTCCTCCCTCGTGTTGCCTCCTCCTCCCTGGTGTTGCCTCCTCCTCCCTGGTGTTACCTCCTCCTCCCTGGTGTTGCCTCCTCCTCCCTGGTGTTGCCTCCTCCTCCCTGGTGTTGCCTCCTCCTCCCTGGTGTTGCCTCCTCCTCCCTCGTGTTGCCTCCTCCTCCCTGGTGTTGCCTCCTCCTCCCTGGTGTTGCCTCCTCCTCCCTGGTGTTGCCTCCTCCTCTCCTGGTGTTGCCTCCTCCTCCCTGGTGTTGCCTCCTCCTCCCTGGTGTTGCCTCCTCCTCCCTGGTGTTGCCTCCTCCTCCCTGGTGTTGCCTCCTCCTCCTTGGGTTGCCTCCTCCTCCTTGGTGTTGCCTCCTCCTCCTGGTGTTGCCTCCTCCTCCCTGGTGTTGCCTCCTCCTCCCTGGTGTTGCCTCCTCCTCCCTGGTGTTGCCTCCTCCTCCCTGGTGTTGCCTCCTCCTCCCTGGTGTTGCCTCCTCCTCCCTCGTGTTGCCTCCTCCTCGCTGGTGTTGCCTCCTCCTCCCTGTGTGTTGCCTCCTCCTCCTTGGTGTTGCCTCCTCCTCCCTGGTGTTCCTCCTCCTCCCTGGTGTTGCCTCCTCCTCCTTGGTGTTGCCTCCTCCTCCCTGGTGTTGCGTCCTCCTCCCTGGTGTTACCTCCTCCTCCCTGGTGTTGCCTCCTCCTCCTGGTGTTGCCTCCTCCTCCCTGGTGTTGCCTCCTCTCCTGGTGTTGCCTCCTCCTCCCTGGTGTTGCCTCCTCCTCCCTGGTGTTGCCTCCTCCTCCCTGGTGTTGCCTCCTCCTCCCTCGTGTTGCCTCCTCCTCCCTGGTGTTGCCTCCTCCTCCCTGGTGTTGCCTCCTCCTCCCTGGTGTTGCCTCCTCCTCCCTCGTGTTGCCTCCTCCTCCTGGTGTTGCCTCCTCCTCCCTGGTGTTGCCTCCTCCTCCTGGTGTTGCCTCCTCCTCCCTGGTGTTCCCTCCTCCTCCCTGGTGTTGCCTCCTCCTCCCTGGTGTACTCCTCCTCCCTGGTGTTGCCTCCTCCTCCCTGGTGTTGCCTCCTCCTCCCTGGTGTTCCCTCCTCCTCCCTGGTGTTGCCTCCTCCTCCCTGGTGTTGCCTCCTCCTCCCTGGTGTTGCCTCCTCCTCCCTGGTGTTGCCTCCTCCTCCCTGGTGTTGCCTCCTCCTCCCTGGTGTTGCCTCCTCCTCCCTGGTGTTGCCTCCTCCTCCCTGGTGTTGCCTCCTCCTCCTTGGTGTTGCCTCCTCCTCCCTGGTGTTGCCTCCTCCTCCCTGGTGTTGCCTCCTCCTCCCTGGTGTTGCCTCCTCCTCCCTCGTGTTGCCTCCTCCTCCTTGGTGTTGTTTCCTCCTCCCTGGTGTTGCCCTCCTCCCTGGTGTTGCCTCCTCCTCCTGGTGTTGCCTCCTCCTCCCTGGTGTTGCCTCCTCTCCTGGTGTTGCCTCCTCCTCCCTCCCTGGTGTTGCCTCCTCCTCCCTGGTGTTGCCTCCTCCTCCTGGTGTTGCCTCCTCCTCCCTGGTGTTGCCTCCTCCCTGGTGTTGCCTCCTCCTCCCTTGTGTTGCCTCCTCCTCCCTGGTGTTACCTCCTCCTCCCTGGTGTTGCCCTCCTCCTCCCTGGTGTTGCCTCCTCCTCCCTGGTGTTGCCTCCTCCTCCCTGGTGTTGCCTCCTCCTCCCTCGGTTGCCTCCTCCTCCTTGGTGTTGCCTCCTCCTCCCTGGTGTTGCCTCCTCCTCCCTGGTGTTGCCTCCTCCTCCCTGGTGTTGCCTCCTCCTCCCTCGTGTTGCCTCCTCCTCCTTGGTGTTGCCTCCTCCTCCCTGGTGTTGCTCCTCCTCCCTCGTGTTGCCTCCTCCCCTGGTGTTGCCTCCTCCTCCCTGGTGTTGCCTCCTCCTCCCTCGTGTTGCCTCCTCCTCCTGGTGTTGCCTCCTCCTCCCTGGTGTTGCCTCCTCCCTGGTGTTCCTCCTCCTCCCTGGTGTTGCCTCCTCCTCCCTGTGTTGCCTCCTCCTCCCTCGTGTTGCCTCCTCCTCCTGGTGTTCCTCCTCCTCCCTCTGTGTTGCCTCCTCCTCCTTGGTGTTGCTCCTCCTCCCTGGTGTTCCCTCCTCCTCTGGTGTTGCCTCCTCCTCCTTGGTGTTGCCTCCTCCTCCCTGGTGTTGCCTCCTCCTCCCTGGTGTTACCTCCTCCTCCCTGGTGTTGCCTCCTCCTCCCTGGTGTTGCCTCCTCCTCCCTGGTGTTGCCTCCTCCTCCCTGGTGTTACCTCCTCCTCCCTGGTGTTGCCTCCTCCTCCCTGGTGTTGCCTCCTCCTCCCTGGTGTTGCCTCCTCCTCCCTGGTGTTGCCTCCTCCTCCCTGTGTGTTGCCTCCTCCTCTCCTGGTGTTGCCTCCTCCTCCCTGGTGTTGCCTCCTCCTCCCTGGTGTTGCCTCCTCCTCCCTCGTGTTGCCTCCTCCTCCTTGGTGTTGCCTCCTCCTCCCTGGTGTTGCCTCCTCCTCCCTGGTGTTGCCTCCTCCTCCCTGGTGTTGCCTCCTCCTCCCTGGTGTTGCCTCCTCCTCCCTGGTGTTACTCCTCCTCCCTGGTGTTGCTCCTCCTCCCTGGTGTTGCCTCCTCCTCCCTGGTGTTGCCTCCTCCTCCCTGGTGTTGTTGCCTCCTCCTCCTTGGTGTTGCCTCCTCCTCCCTGGTGTTACCTCCTCCTCCCTGGTGTTACCTCCTCCTCTCTGGTGTTGCCTCCTCCTCCCTGGTGTTGCCTCCTCCTCCCTGGTGTTGCCTCCTCCTCCTGGTGTTGCCTCCTCCTCCCTGGTGTTGCCTCCTCCTCCCTCGTGTTGCCTCCTCCTCCTTGGTGTTGCCTCCTCCTCCTGGTGTGCCTCCTCCTCCCTGGTGTTGCCTCCTCCTCCCTGGTGTTACCCTCCTCCTCCCTGGTGTTGCCTCCTCCTCCCTGGTGTTGCCTCCTCCTCCCTGGTGTTACCTCCTCCTCCCTGGTGTTGCCTCCTCCTCCCTGGTGTTGCCTCCCCTCCTCCTCCCTCGTGTTGCCTCCTCCTCCTCCTGGTGTTGCCTCCTCCTCCCTGGTGTTGCCTCCTCCTCCTGGTGTTGCCTCCTCCTCCCTGGTGTTGCCTCCTCCTCCCTGGTGTTGCCTCCTCCTCCCTGGTGTTGCCTCCTCCTCCCTGGTGTTGCCTCCTCCTCCCTGGTGTTACATCCTCCTCCTGGTGTTGCCTCCTCCTCCCTGGTGTTGCTCCTCCTCCCTGGTGTTGCCTCCTCCTCCCTGGTGTTGCCTCCTCCTCCCTGGTGTTGCCTCCTCCTCCCTCGTGTTGCCTCCTCCTCCTTGTGTTGCCTCCTCCTCCCTGGTGTTGCCTCCTCCTCCCTGGTGTTGCCTCCTCCTCCCTGGTGTTACCTCCTCCTCCCTGGTGTTGCCTCCTCCTCCCTGGTGTTGCCTCCTCCTCCCTGGTGTTACCTCCTCCTCCCTGGTGTTGCCTCCTCCTCCCTGGTGTTGCCTCCTCCTCCCTCGTGTTGCCTCCTCCTCCTTGGTGTTGCCTCCTCCTCCCTGTGTGTTGCCTCCTCCTCCCTGGTGTTGCCTCCTCCTCCCTGGTGTTGCCTCCTCCTCCCTGGTGTTGCCTCCTCCTCCCTGGTGTTGTCCTCCTCCTCCCTGGTGTTGCCTCCTCCTCCCTGGTGTTACCTCCTCCTCCCTGGTGTTGCCTCCTCCTCCCTGGTGTTACCTCCTCCTCCCTGGTGTTGCCTCCTCCTCCCTGGTGTTGCCTCCTCCTCCTTGGTGTTGCCTCCTCCTCCCTGGTGTTGCCTCCTCCTCCCTCGTGTTGCCTCCTCCTCCTTGGTGTTGCCTCCTCCTCCCTGGGTTTGCCTCCTCCTCCCTGGTGTTGCCTCCTCCTCCCTGGTGTTACCTCCTTCTCCCTGGTGTTGCCTCCTCCTCCCTGGTGTTGCCTCCTCCTCCCTGGTGTTACCTCCTCCTCCCTGGTGTTGCCTCCTCCTCCCTCGTGTTGCCTCCTCCTCCCTGGTGTTACCTTCTCCTCCCTGGTTTTGCCTCCTCCTCCCTGGTGTTGCCTCCTCCTCCTCTGGTGTTGCCTCCTCCTCCCTGGTGTTGCCTCCTCCTCCCTCGTGTTGCCTCTCCTCCTTGGTGGCCTCCTCCTCCCTGGTGTTGCCTCCTCCTCCCTCGTGTTGCCTCCTCCTCCCTGGTGTTGCCTCCTCCTCCCTGGTGTTTGCCTCCTCCTCCCTGGTGTTGCCTCCTCCTCCCTGTTACCTCCTCCTCCCTGGTGTTTACTCCTCCTCCCTGGTGTTGCCTCCTCCTCCCTGGTGTTGCCTCCTCTTCCCTGGTGTTGCCTCCTCCTCCCTCGTGTTGCCTTCTCCTCCTTGTGTTGCCTCCTCCTCCCTGGTGTTGCCTCCTCCTCCCTGGTGTTGCCTCCTCCTCCTCGTGTTGCCTCCTCCTCCTTGGTGTTGCCTCCTCCTCCCTGGTGTTGCCTCCTCCTCCCTGGTGTTGCCTCCTCCTCCCTGGTGTTGCCTCCTCCTCGCTGGTGTTCCTCCTCCTCCTCGTGTTGCCTCCTCCTCCTGGTGTTGCCTCCTCCTCCCTGGTGTTCCCTCCTCCTCCCTGGTGTTGCCTCCTCCTCCCTGGTGTTGCCTCCTCCTCCCTGGTGTTGCCTCCTCCTCCCTGGTGTTGCCTCCTCCTCCCTGGTGTTGCCTCCTCCTCCCTGGTGTTGCCTCCTCCTCCCTGGTGTTGCCTCCTCCTCCCTGGTGTTGCCTCCTCCTCCCTGGTGTTGCCTCCTCCTCCCTGGTGTTGCCTCCTCCCTGGTGTTGCCTCCTCCTCCCTGGTGTTGCCTCCTCCTCCCTGGTGTTACCTCCTCCTCCCTGGTGTTACCTCCTCCTCTCTGGTGTTGCCTCCTCCTCCCTGGTGTTGCCTCCTCCTCCTTGGTGTTGCCTCCTCCTCCCTGGTGTTGCCTCCTCCTCCCTCGTGTTGCCTCCTCCTCCTTGGTGTTGCCTCCCTCCCTCCTGGTGTTGCCTCCTCCTCCCTGGTGTTGTTACTCCTCCTCCCTGGTGTTGCCTCCTCCTCGTGTTACTCCTCCTCCCTGGTGTTACCTCCTCCTCCCTGGTGTTGCCTCCTCCTCCCTGGTGTTGCCTCCTCCTCCCGGTGTTGCCTCCTCCTCCCTGGTGTTGCCTCCTCCTCCCTGGTGTTGCCTCCTCCTCCCTCGTGTTGCCTCCTCCTCCTTGGTGTTGCCTCCTCCTCCTGGTGTTGCCTCCTCCTCCCTGGTGTTGCCTCCTCCTCCCTGGTGTTACCTCCTCCTCCCTGGTGTTGCCTCCTCCTCCTTGGTGTTACCTCCTCCTCCCTGGTGTTGCCTCCTCCTCCCTGGTGTTGCCTCCTCCTCCCTGGTGTTGCCTCCTCCTCCCTGGTGTTGCCTCCTCCTCCCTGGTGTTGCCTCCTCCTCCCTGGTGTTGCCTCCTCCTCCCTGGTGTTGCCTCCTCCTCCCTGGTGTTGCCTCCTCCTCCCTGGTGTTGCCTCCTCCTCCCTGGTGTTGCCTCCTCTCTGGTGTTGCCTCCTCCTCCCTGGTGTTGCCTCCTCCTCCCTGGTGTTGCCTCCTCCTCCCTGGTGTTGCCTCCTCCTCCCTGGTGTTGCCTCCTCCTCCCTGGTGTTACCTCCTCCTCCCTGGTGTTACCTCCTCCTCCCTGGTGTTGCCTCCTCTCTGGTGTTTCCTCCTCCCCCTGGTGTTGCCTCCTCCTCCCTCGTGTTGCCTCCTCCTCCCTGGTGTTGCCTCCTCCTCCCGGTGTTGCCTCCTCTCCCTGGTGTTGCCTCCTCCTCCCTGGTGTTGCCTCCTCCTCTCGGTGTTACCTCCTCCTCCCTGGTGTTGCCTCTCCTCCCTGGTGTTGCCTCCTCCTCCCTGGTGGTTCCTCTCTCCTGGTGTTGCCTCCTCCTCCCTGGTGTTGCCTCCTCCTCCCTGGTGTTGCCTCCTCCTCCCTGGTGTTGCCTCCTCCTCCTGGTGTTGCCTCCTCCTCCCTGTGTTGCCTCCTCCTCCCTCGTGTTGCCTCCTCCTCCTTGGTGTTGCCTCCTCCTCCCTGGTGTTGCCTCCTCCTCCCTCGTGTTGCCTCCTCCTCCTTGGTGTTGCCTCCTCCTCCCTGGTGTTGCCTCCTCCTCCCTGGTGTTGCCTCCTCCTCCCTGGTGTTGCCTCCTCCTCCCTGGTGTTGCCCTCCTCCCCCCTGTGTTGCCTCCTCCTCCTTGGTGTTGCCTCCTCCTCCCTGGTGTTGCCTCCTCCTCCCTGGTGTTGCCTCCTCCTCCCTGGTGTTAGCTCCTCCTCCCTGGTGTTGCCTCCTCCTCCCTGGTGTTGCCTCCTCCTCCCTGGTGTTGCCTCCTCCTCCCTGGTGTTGCCTCCTCCTCCCTGGTGTTACCTCCTCCTCTCTGGTGTTGCCTCCTCCTCCCTGGTGTTGCCTCCTCCTCCCTGGTGTTGCCTCCTCCTCCCTGGTGTTGCCTCCTCCTCCTGGTGTTGCCTCCTCCTCCTTGGTGTTGCCTCCTCCTCCCTGGTGTTGCCTCCTCCTCCCTGGTGTTGCCTCCTCCTCCCTGGTGTTGCCTCCTCCTCCCTCGTGTTGCCTCCTCCTCCTTGGTGTTGCCTCCTCCTCCCTGGTGTTGCCTCCTCCTCCCTGGTGTTGCCTCCTCCTCCCTGGTGTTGCCTCCTCCTCCCTGGTGTTGCCTCCTCCTCCCTCGTGTTGCCTCCTCCTCCTTGGTGTTGCCTCCTCCTCCCTCGTGTTGCCTCCTCCTCCCTGGTGTTGCCTCCTCCTCCCTGGTGTTACCTCCTCCTCCCTGGTGTTGCCTCCTCCTCCCTGGTGTTGCCTCCTCCTCCCTGGTGTTACCTCCTCCTCTGGTGTTGCCTCCTCCTCCCTGGTGTTGCCTCCTCCTCCCTGGTGTTGCCTCCTCCTCCCTGGTGTTGCCTCCTCCTCCCTCGTGTTGCCTCCTCCTCCTTGGTGTTGCCTCCTCCTCCCTCGTGTTGCCTCCTCCTCCTTTGGTGTTGCCTCCTCCTCCCTGGTGTTACCTCCTCCTCCCTGGTGTTGCCTCCTCCTCCCTGGTGTTGCTCCTCCTCCCTGGTGTTGCCTCCTCCTCCCTCGTGTTGCCTCCTCCTCCTTGGTGTTGCCTCCTCCTCCCGTGTTGCCTCCTCCTCCTTGGTGTTGCCTCCTCCTCCCTGGTGTTACCTCCTCCTCCCTGGTGTTGCCTCCTCCTCCGTGGTGTTGCCTCCTCCTCCCTGGTGTTGCCTCCTCCTCTCTGGTGTTGCCTCCTCCTCCCTGGTGTTGCCTCCTCCTCCCTGGTGTTGCCTCCTCCTCCCTGGTGTTGCTCCTCCTCCCTCGTGTTGCCTCCTCCTCCTTGGTGTTGCCTCCTCCTCCCTGGTGTTACCTCCTCCTCCCTGGTGTTACCTCCTCCTCCCTGGTGTTGCCTCCTCCTCCCTGGTGTTGCCTCCTCCTCCCTGGTGTTGCCTCCTCCTCCCTGGTGTTGCCTCCTCCTCTCTGGTGTTGCCTCCTCCTCCCTGGTGTTGCCTCCTCCTCCCTGGTGTTGCCTCCTCCTCCCTGGTGTTGCCTCCTCCTCCCTGGTGTTGCCTCCTCCTCCTGGTGTTGCCTCCTCCTCCCTGGTGTTACCTCCTCCTCCCTGGTGTTTACTCCTCCTCCCTGGTGTTGCCTCCTCCTCCCTCGTGTTGCCTCCTCCTCCCTTGGTGTTGCCTCCTCCTCCCTGTGTTTGCCTCCTCCTCCTGGTGTTGCCTCCTCCTCCCTGGTGTTGCCTCCTCCTCCCTGGTGTTGCCTCCTCCTCCTGGTGTTGCCTCCTCCTCCTGGTGTGCCTCCTCCTCCCTCGTGTTGCCTCCTCCTCCTTGGTGTTGCCTCCTCCTCCTTGGTGTTGCCTCCTCCTCCCTGGTGTTGCCTCCTCCTCCCTGGTGTTGCCTCCTCCTCCCTGGTGTTGCCTCCTCCTCCTGGTGTTGCCTCCTCCTCCCTGGTGTTGCCTCCTCCTCCCTGGTGTTGCCTCCTCCTCCCTCGTGTTGCCTCCTCCTCGCTGGTGTTCCTCCTCCTCCCTCGGGTTGTCTCCTCCTGTCCTCCCTCCTCCTCCTTGGTGTTGCCCTCCTCCTCCCTGGTGTTGCCTCCTCCTCCCTCGTGTTGCTCCCTCCTCCTGGTGTTGCCTCCTCCTCCCTGGTGTTGCGTCTCCTCCCTGGTGTTACCTCCTCCTCCCTGGTGTTGCCTCCTCCTCCCTGGTGTTGCCTCCTCCTCCCTGGTGTTGCCTCCTCCTCCCTGGTGTTGCCTCCTCCTCCCTGGTGTTACCTCCTCCTCGCTGGTGTTGCCTCCTCCTCCCTCGTGTTGCCTCCTCCTCCCGGTGTTGCCTCCTCCTCCTTGGTGTTGCCTCCTCCTCCCTGGTGTTGCCTCCTCCTCCCTGGTGTTGCCTCCTCCTCCCTCGTGTTGCCTCCTCCTCGCTGGTGTTCCTCCTCCTCCCTCGGTGTTCCTCCTCCTCTGGTGTTGCCTCCTCCTCCCTGGTGTTCCCTCCTCCTCCCTGGTGTTTGCCTCCTCTCCCTGGTGTTGCCTCCTCCTCCCTGGTGTTGCCTCCTCCTCCCTGGTGTTGCTCCTCCTCCCTGGTGTGTTCCCTCCTCCTCCCTGGTGTTGCCTCCTCCTCCCTGGTGTCCCCTCTCCTCCCTGGCGTTGCCTCCTCCTCCCTGGTGTTGCCTCCTCCTCCCTGTTGCCTCCTCCTCCCTGGTGTTGCCTCCTCCTCCCTGGTGTTGCCTCCTCCTCCCTCGTGTTGCCTCCTCCTCCTTGGTGTTGCCTCCTCCTCCCTGGTGTTGCCTCCTCCTCCCTCGTGTTGCCTCCTCCTCCCTGGTGTTCCCTCCTCCTCCCTGTGTTGCCTCCTCCTCCTTGGTGTTGCCTCCTCTCTCTGGTGTTGCCTCCTCCTCCCTGGTGTTGCCTCCTCCTCCCTGGTGTTGCTCCTCCTCCCTGGTGTTGCCTTCTCCTCCCTCGTGTTGCCTCCTCCTCCCTGGTGTTGCCTCCTCCTCCTGGTGTTACCTTCTCCTCCCTGGTGTGCTCCTCCTCCCCCTGGTGTTGCCTCCTCCCTGGTGTTGCCTCCTCCTCCCTGCTGTTGCCTCCTCCTCCCTGGTGTTACCTCCTCCTCTCTGGTGTTGCCTCCTCCTCCCTGGTGTTGCCTCCTCCTCCCTGGTGTTGCCTCCTCCTCCCTGGTGTTGCCTCCTCCTCCCTCGTGTTGCGCCTCCTCCTCCTTGGTGTTGCCTCCTCCTCCCTGGTGTTGCCTCCTCCTCCCTGGTGTTGCCTCCTCCTCCCTGGTATTGCCTCCTCCTCCCTCGTGTTGCCTCCTCCTCCTTGGTGTTGCCTCCTCCTCCCTGGTGTTACCTCCTCCTCTCTGGTGTTGCCTCCTCCTCCCTGGTGTTGCCTCCTCCTCCCTGGTGTTGCCTCCTCCTCCTCGTGTTGCCTCCTCCTCCCTGGTGTTGCTCCTCCTCCCTTGGTGTTGCCTCCTCCTCCCTGTGTTGCCTCCTCCCCTGGTGTTGCCTCCTCCTCCCTGGTGTTGCCTCCTCCTCCCTCGTGTTGCCTCCTCCTCCTGGTGTTGCCTCCTCCTCCCTCGTGTTGCCTCCTCCTCCTGGTGTTGCCTCCTCCTCCCTGGTGTTACCTCCTCCTCCCTGGTGTTGCCTCCTCCTCCCTGGGTTGCCTCCTCCTCCCTGGTGTTACCTCCTCCTCCCTGGTGTTGCCTCCTCCTCCCTGGTGTTGCCTCCTCCTCCCTGGTGTTGCCTCCTCCTCCCTGGTGTTGCCTCCTCCTCCCTGTGTTGCCCTCCTCCTCGCTGGTGTTACCTCCTCCTCCCTGGTGTTGCCTCCTCCCCTGGTGTTGCCTCCTCCTCCCTGGTGTTGCCTCCTCCTCCCTGGTGTTGCCTCCTCCTCCCTGGTGTTGCCTCCTCCTCCCTGGTGTTGCCTCCTCCTCCCTGGTGTTGCCCCTTCCTCCCTGGTGTTCCCTCCTCCTCCTGGTGTTGCCTCCTCCTCCCTGGTGTGCCTCCTCTCCCTGGTGTTGCCTCCTCCTCCCTGGTGTTGCCTCCTCCTCCCTGGTGTTGCCTCCTCCTCCCTGGTGTTGCCTCTCCTCCCTGGTGTTGCCTCCTCCTCCCTGGTGTTGCCTCCTCCTCCTTGGTGTTGCCTCCTCCTCCCTGGTGTTGCCTCCTCCTCCCTGGTGTTGCCTCCTCCTCCCTGGTGTTCCCTCCTCCTCCCTGGTGTTGCCTCCTCCTCCCTGGTGTTGCTCTCTCCTCCCTGGTGTTGCCTCCTCCTCCCTGGTGTTGCCTCCTCCTCCTGGTGTTGCCTCCTCCTCCCTGGTGTTGCCTCCTCCTCCCTCGTGTTGCCTCCTCCTCCCTGGTGTTGCGTCCTCCTCCCTGGTGTACCTTCCTCCCTGGTGTTGCCTCCTCCTCCCTGGTGTTGCCTCCTCCCTGGTGTTG